AGAGTTCATTTTTCTCTCAATGTGACCCCTATTTTGTACCCCTGATGGTGAAATAGCCGATACTTATCCTGGGTGCTTATAGTATTGTGGTAAAGAGGAAAAATACAAAACAAAAGGGCAACATTTGTCCTGTACTGACATGTACTTGTACATAATTTATGGCAGCATTCATTCTAATTCAGAGTTACCTATATTTAATTTGATTTTTTCAACATTAGATCAAAACAGTTGAAAACTTATAATGACAACTTCAGAAAAGCAATGCTTTTGAGGGTATACAGAGATGGTCATATGGTATTTATTTATCTTAGGCATTTGTCTGTGGAAGCCATTTTTACCTACCTGCAAAGAATGCAGCAGTGCCTAGCAACAGTCACATCAAACTTCATGTTGTGAAGATAAACACCTCAATTTCTGTTACTTCTGGATATGTAAACCAAAATCAAGGTAAGATTTTAAAAACTTTACTGGTGGTATATTAATAGTTTTGATGGAACATCTTTCATTTGAAAATTTATTTTGAATTGTTTGTAACAACATTTAACAACAATTAAGGACTGAGATAAAAATGCATGATAAATTGTAAGTAGGTAAAATAGCTTTTTATGTACAGACACAGATGTATCTGTACATATTGCCATCACCTGCGTCTGTCGTCGCCGATGCCGATGCTGGCGCCGTGCACTTTCATTGTAAACACGATAAGTGGAATGCAGTTTTATTTTTTGGCTTTATATTTACAGAGCTGATGAATATTCATAAAACACAGGTCAAGTTCGAAAATCAGCATGATCAGGCCATTATTGTAGAAGTTATGCTGTTTTTGCACTTTTCAGCATAAATGCAATACTGTAAACACAATATAAGAACAATGTTATAATCTCTGCTTTGTAAATTACCTCTCATTAAAGTTGAATGCCTTGTTATTATTAAAATAAATCTACTTGTTTAATTTTAATTGCTCTTAGAACATCATTTATCAGAGAAAAAAAAATCAACAAAATTATTTAGGAGTGTAATATAAATATTGGACAAAAGCAAATTTTATTCAACACAAAACAGATTTGCAGATAAGTAACATATTGATGCCATGTTCAGAAGACTGATTAACTTTCATTTGTCTTTTGCAGAAATTAGACCATGTTGGGGGGGGGGGGTTGTTATGCATCTAAACATTTGAACTTCACAAGCTGTGAAACACAGCTATGTTCAAGATTATCCAGGCTTTAAAAGATTTGGTCAGGACAAGAAATGATCTTGAAAATGCATTTGGATACATCATATTAAATGAAAAAAATAAGAAAGAAGTTGAAAAGAACATTGAGGAACAGGGGTACCTCCCCTTTGCTTTTTAGGATGTGCAAAGGAAATTATTTATAAATATGTTGATATGCTTTTTACTACACTGTCAATAAAGATATTGTATAGTCTTCTTCTGGGTTGGTTTATGTTGCAGATTGACATATATCAGATCTTGTATAGAGATGTGTTTAACTGTATTTTTTTTCCTAATTTTACACATCAGGTTGGAATTAGATGTGAGTATTCTGAAACAAAGGTGTGGAGCCTGTCCCCCACATACTTTCCCAAAGGTTTAATTAATTTACTAACTGCATTCTCCCTTTTTAAATTCACAGGTTGAATAGAACAAACATGTTTTATATTTTGTGCCAAAAAGCATGGTAAATGGCCTAAAAAAATATCCCTACGTATTTCCTCAGGACTATTTAATACAAATATACAAACATATAAAAACTTGAGGAACAACATACAAAACTAATGAATTTTTATTTACAGACACAGATGTGTCAGGTGAGCCGATCACAAAACTGACAGGTAATTAAGACCAGCTCTAAGTTATTAATAATTAACATTATTATGCAATACTCAGTTGGTAAAGCGATTCTCACAGGTAGATAAGATAAAACATGACAAGTTTCTCAAGGCTATTGATTGCCAGTCTCTTTTGATAGTGATTTTTAACTCAGATAAGAGGCTGTCAGAATGTCACCTCTGTCTTGGCATTTGTCACTGATTAGCGCCTACCCTGGTGTAAAAGGGGTATTAGTGTGATCATATGCGTGGAATTTCATATCAGATGGACATATAATTTATAAAGATCTAAAAATTCGTCGCAATATTAAAAAAAAGATACATCTTTGCACAGCAGTCATAGATGGGTACGATTTAATTGTTAGTTACGAACTACTTCCTGGTTTTCATAAGGTCCTTCAAGACCTCTAAAACATCGTTATAATTGCAGCACATACCACAAAACACCCAAAAATACTTAGATATGGACATACCAGATTATTTAAATGCCAAAATTCCACATGACAACAATTTAACGCCTCCCAGGAATGCTTTTCCCTTGATCCTCTTTGTCGATGCAGCTTGTATTTCAAAACAAACAGACTGCAAATTAAGCACGATTTTGCAAAACTACTTTTTCCTCCAACTACACATCTTCTCTCCCATTCACCTCCAGCTTAAAATGACCATTCATCTTCGCGTCTTAAACCACTTCATGTCACATGACATCACACCCCCGGCACAATTCTAACTAATGCCCATTTTCTCCGGCACCCTTTATTGACTTCTTTTACCGCAACTTATACATTTTAGTGAAACATTCTTTTTTTATCGTATTGGCATATTCATTGTGGAACTCAGAACTCCCATTGGCATAAAGCTGAATGGTAATCAAATTTTCTACATGTCCATGGTATTTAAAGTCAATAATTAAAATTGCTCATAATTATTCTGTAATTTATTATGTAATTTTACATCAAAATTGACACAAACCTTCTCTGTGCACTGCTACTGCAATCGTTATGAAAAGAAAACTGTTACTTATTATTTTAAACTTACAAGAATAATTTTAGGCTTGATATGCAGCTCATATTAGAAAGCCAGCTGAATTGATTTATCATTTATTATTGCATTAATACAATTTCATAAATTTTCATTTTTCTCATTCTGGCATTTTCAAAGTGTGCACTTGAACTCTCATGGCCTTATGGCTGTTACACAATTTACTTACATCAGTAATACCTGTTGAACTTAATTAAAGTTTGATGTTGAATTTGCAGTTAAGCATAGTACGTGTACTTTTGCATCAGCATTGACAGTAGCATATTCTTATGCATTGTTATTTTCTGCTTTTTGTCTACATACATTTGACAGCTTTAATGCTGCTTCGTTTTATCCTGCTATTGTTTTCAGGAGTGTGGAAGACTCAGCATCACCTTTCACTTGTTGACTGGTTATGCCAAGAAAGTCCTGCCAGATTTTATGAAATGTAACAATATTGGAGGTCTTTTCTCCCCTTTTCTCCCCTCAGAGTTCCACAGCAATGGGTGAAGAATGTGACTGAGAACTTGCCTAAAAATATCCCTCTCTGTTAGGTAGGTGAATTTATTATTCTTATTGCATTCCCAGAGATTCAGATCGATCCAGAGATTTAGATTTAGATCGACCTAACTCCCTGGGGGTTCATGCTAAATTGCTGTCAGCTGAGCATGCACCATAGTTAATAAAACCGTTACGGCTTTTAGTAGGCGGGACAGACACTTAAGCCGGCTAAGCTGACAGTAATCTAGTGAGAGTCCCCAAAGGGATAGATCGATCTAAAATCTATGGGAATGGGGTCTAAGACTAGCTCCCTATGCCTAGAACGATCCATCTGCATGGATTGGTCTAACTCACTGGGGAGTCTCACTAAATTGCTCTCATCTTTCTGGCTTAAATGCCTGTCACACCTACTGAATCAGCTATTGTGGGTAAAGATAATTACCCCGTAGCAGCTTGACTAGGTGTGACAGACATTTAAGCCAATTAAATTAATAGCAAATAGCAAGTTAGTGAGACATTCCAGTTAAATAGATCAATCAAAACATCTGTGGGAATAGTCCCTAACAAAGCCATATTTTTTCATCTACAAAAGGTAAAAGAGGGCAAGATGCATGGATTCCTCAGAATGTACTGGGCCAAGAAAATCCTGGAGTGGACCAGCAGTCCTGAGGAGGCTTTGAAAATTGGTAATTATCTCAATGATAGGTATGAACTGGATGGAAGGGATCCCAATGGATTTGTAGCTATAGGTAAGTTTAATTAGTACTAACTGTGTGTGTGTGTGTGTGTGTGTGTGTGTGTGTGTGTGCACCTGGCTATGTTGATTTTATGTGTAACTATTCTCTAAAATAATTATGTATTAAAATTTTACATTTGACAAGAGTAATTGATCATAAAGGAACTTTTTTCCTTTATTATTTAACACCACAAATATTCACATATTCTATAATGACTGACTTGAACTATGCATTTTTTGACAGTGATTAACATAAAAAAAAATCCGGGAAGGTATAGTTTTAAGCAACACACAACAACACTTGTTTAACTTAAAAAAAATATTATTAGTTTTATTACATCACAATGTTAACAGTTGTCTAGTGCAACACAACCATAGTCCACATCACTTATAGATAATAGCAGTGTAATGAGGCCATAATAACTCAGCATTAATAGGTATTTAACTTCTTACATCTTGTTACATCACATTATATACTGTATAATGGATTTCTCTCTTAATCACTCTCCATCTAACTGTAATAAAAAATATCTTCTTAAGATATTCTGGAATATGCACTGTGAACAAATTAAAAACATGCAGCATGGGTTTTTGATATTTCCATGACTACATGCATAATAATATGTCACTTAGTAATATAATACCATATCTAGTTGTAATTGAGGCATTATGATGGCTATCCTTAAATATACACATCATAGAGACACTGTTATATGAATCATCTGGTATGCTATATATTAGAATTATAATAACCAGTAATATTTGATATATCATGTTTGAACATCCTTGTTAAACACTTTATTCAGATTACCTTTTTGCTATGAATAAAATTGGAAAAAATAAATGCTATTTGTCACTTGAAAACAATTCGAACACATGTACACACATTATTAAATAAAATTATATACATTACTTGTATTACGCACATTGGAATTTTGGACAGTACATTGCATACATCTCTTTTTAAAATAGTTTTTCTGTAAGTAAAACTTTATACCTTATATTATAATGATTATTATACTTGTTTGTAACTCACATTTTATAATATTTTGGAAAGAATTTTAAGCTGCTACAAATGATTCTATGATCATCATGCAGTTAACCCGACTGATTGGAAATACTGTGATATATAGTCCTTCACTATTTCAGTTCTTTGACAGAACCTAGCTAATGCTAAAACTATGTACAAAATCAGTTTAGAGTTCAGTTATATAACAAACAATACATTTATGCTTTGTTAAAAACAAGTTTACATTAAGTACTAGTTACTACATAGTCATCCACTGTATGCAATGTATAAAAGTGTAAGTATGTCAAGGCGCAGCCCAGATAAAATGTGCTTTGGTATATGTCGATCACATACAGTGGAAGACCAGTAGCTGTATCTGACTTAATATCCCTCGACTGCCACTTTGAACAAACTTTGAAAGGATCAAATCACAGATGCTTAGGAAAATACAGGTCAGCAAGTTAGTGAAATACAAATGAAATAAATATTATACTATTGTCCAAAGCACCAGCTGTGGGAAAAATAACAAATATTTTTGCTTTGAATAGTTAAACATTCATCAAATACGACCTTACCTTGATTATTTTCTGTACAACTATTCGCCCTAAAATATATTGGTATTCAGGAATGGAAAGTCATCAAAGCACTTAATCAATGCTATAAATTGTTCCCGCCTTTTGTTATTTTGATGAGACATGTTTTAATATATGAGTTTCTTTATCTTCCAGTAAAAACGATATACTGTTTCAAACACCCACATGTCAAATGCAAATATTCATGCACACATTTACAAGTTATCAAGCTGGTATTGTACAGGTGCAGGGCCATCAGATACATATTTTCTTTTACAGATTTTTTAATATGTACATTATACTTAAATAGTTGATTCCTGCTTGGGTTCCTATTGTTTTACATATATACATAATTTCAAATTCCACGACGGGGTTAGGGTGAGGGTGGCAAACAGTACAGGATTGTGTTAATGGCAATGTTCCATTTGATTTTTTTGAAGTACTTGATTGCTTCTGTAAATCGTGCCATCACTATGAGAACTGTACCAATCACTTTACATGTATCTATTGTACTGGGGTGGGTAATACCAAGTAACTCTTCTTGAACTGATGCACATTTCTTCAAGTAAAGAACTCCATCTCTGTACAGCTTTACTTCTACCAAAATTTCTCCAATATTTAGGTAACATAAAGCTGTTTTTTCATGCTTGACACCAAAATGTGTTTCATATATATCAAGTGCATTCTTAAAATATTTTAGAGACTCTGCATACATACCCATTTCACGTAGTGCAACAGCAACACTGATGTATGCGACAGCAGTTTTTAAGTGTTTGGTACCAAGCAACTTTTCATGTATTTCAAGCGCTTCCTTAAGATATGCCAATGCATCATCAAACTTACCCATGTCCTGTAGCACACGGCCAATATTGTTGTATATGGCAGCAGTTTTAGTGTGATTGGTGCCGAGCAAATTTTCATGTATTTCAAGGCTTTTCTTATGATATGTCAATGCATCATCAAACTTACCCATGGCATGTAGCACAAGGCCAATATTGTTCAATGATTGCGCAGTTTTAGTGTGGTTGGTGCCAAGCAACTTTTCACATATTTCAAGACCTTTTTTTTGATATGTCAATGCATCATCATACCTGCCCATGTCACATAACACGTCACCATAGTTGCTGTATGAGTCAACAGTATCAGTGGGGTTTATACTAAACTGCTCTTCACCTATTGCAATACTTTTTTTCAAATATATCAGAGCATCGTCAAGCTTACCCATGTTATGTAGCAAAATACCAATATTGTTGTATGACATGGCAGTTTCCCTGTGATTGTCACCAAGCAGCTCTTTGCGTATTTCAAGACTTTTCCTGTGATATGTCAATGCATCATCAAACTTACCCATGTCATGTAGTACAAGACCAATACTGCTGTATGATCCAGCGGTTTCACTGTGATTTGTACCACACAGCTCCTCACTTATTTCAAGACTTTTCCTGTGATGTGTCAGAGCATCTTCATACTTACCCATTTTATGTAGTACACTACCAATATTGGCGTATGATGCAGCAGTTTTTGTGTGCTTGGTGCCAAACAGCTCTTCACGAATCTTAAGACATTTCCTGTGATATGTCAATGCATCATCATACTTACCCATGCACTTTAGCAGGGTACCAATATTGTTGTATAAGTCAGCAGTACTAGGGTGTTTAGTACCTATCAGCTGTTCCTGTATTGCAAGACCTTTACTTTGATATGACAATGCATCGTCATACTTACCCATGTCCAGTAGCACAAGACCAATATTGTTGTATAAACCAGAAATTGCAGTGTGATTGGTGCCAAGCAGTTCTTTTTGTATTTCAAGAGATTTTTTTAAAAAATTCAGTGCATCATCATACATACCCATCTTTAATAGCAGGTTCCCAATACTGTTGTATGATCCAGCAGTTCTTGTGTGTTTGGTGCCAAGCAGCTTTTCCTGTATTTCAAGACTTTTCCTGTGATATGTCAATGCTTCATTGTACTTACCCATGTCACAAAGCAGATTACCAATATTGTTGTATGAGTCAGCAGTTTTAAGGGGGTTCACATTAAACTGTTCTTCATTTATTACAAGACTTTTCTTATAATACTTCAGAGCATCATCATTCTTACCCATTTCATGTAGGACAATACCAATGTTGTTGTACGAGTCAGAGGTTACTGTGTGATTGTTGCCAAGCAACTCCTCATGTATTTCAAGACTTTTCTTGTGGTATTTTAATGCATCATCATACTTACCCATAGCACAAAAAATGTCCCCAACTTTTTCATATAAAAATGATAAGTGTAAACTGGTTTGTCTTTTTGGAAGCTCATTGTTTTGTTTTGCTTTAAGAATCTTTACTGACTCTTTTAATATGTGCAGAGGTTCATTAAACAAATACAATTTTTTCAATACAATAGTTATGTCCAGAAGTCTTTGTATGAAATCATCAAAGTCTGTGTCCACATCCCCGTCTAGTGCAGTAGTGCTTATTGATTTATTTTGAAGGTATTTGCTTAGATGTTTCAACAAAAGCTTTCCACTGAACAACAAATGTGGAACTAAGGTTACTGCCGTTTCATATGCATCTTTTGGAATTGAGGATTCAAATATCACTACCAGTGTTGCTGCTCTGTCACAATAATATCTATAGTATGAAATTTCCATCACTAATTGTTTATCAGGAAATTGTTTTGCTTGGGACTCAGAAAAAGCCTTTAACAGGGGATGTAGATCATAAACCTGATCACTCACTTGGTTTACAAGGGACTTGGATGTGAAACTGTCAAAAATGTCTTCACATATGCCCTCTTCTATTTGGAGAATGTTTGAAACATCGGTCAAATTAAAAGACACTGGGAATATATACAGACTGCAGAACATATCTTTTTCGCTATCAGACAATGCTTCAAAGGATATTTCCAAAGTCGACTTCATTCCTTCAAATTTAGATGAATCTGCCACTTCAAGAACACCTTTTCTGTCTATTTTCTCTTGCATTTGCAAACCTCCTTTCTTTCTTATTTGAGGTGCTAGTAATTTCAAGGCAAGAGGACAATACCCACATCTAGCAGCTATTTCTTCCAAGATTTTAACATCTTCTGTTTGGGGGACAGACCTCCCACCTGATAGTAGCCAAGTTGATGACTTAACATCAAGATGGGATATTACTTTTTCATTTACTTTCACAGATGTGAGGCCAATTGATTCACGGCTGGTACAGACTAAAGATATGTGCTTTGATGCTTTCAACATATCCTGAAGTAATTTCATGAACTGCTGTGTCTGGTCTCTAAGTAAATTATCAATGTTGTCAAAGATAACCACAGTTGCTGATTTGATCTCAGAAAGAGTCTTTTGAAATAAATTCTGATGGTCGGCATATATTTCTTTCAAAAACATCTGAGGATTATAATGTTGCACTAGTGATAACTGAACAGAACCAAGATTTTCAACCTGCCTCATGTCTAGAAAAAAAACATTTCTACCTTTTTCACTCATGTGATGTCCCATCTCTACAGCAATGCTGGTTTTGCCAATGCCACCCATCCCTGTCAGGAGCAAAACATCTGAGTTGTTGACCTGTTCTTGAATTTCAGTCAACAAATCCTCTCGTCCACAGAAGTTACTGTCTTTTCTGGGAAGGTCCACAGACATGAGTTGACAAGCAGTAGGTACTCCTGAAACAATGGGGGAAAAAAATTAACAATACGGTATGTGTCAACAAAATGCACATTTTCAGTTTAATTAGGAACATTTGTCAGTGGCCAATAAACATGACAATAGATATGAAGATGCTGGTCAACTTTCTTTTCTTTAATTTTTATGTCAAATTCTTGCTTACCAATGATTTAGAATGTGCAAATTTTTTCGTGTTAGAAAATATATGGATATGCTAAGCATCATTTCATGAAACGGGGCACATTCAATTTTCTCTATAAATAACCTTCCATTATCTGTAGTCACTGTAATAATTATTAATATTAGTTACATGTCAAAAGGTAAAGTTATTATTGTTTGTAACTTTTAACAGACTGTGTACCTGTGGATTGTATTGGTTTAATGAGAATGTGATCATAGTCTTGTTCTGTGTAGATCTTTGACAAACGTAACAGTACTGTCTTGAGACCTTCAAAGTCACTTTGAAATGTTGCCGCTGAAAGCCTGGCCACACCATGCATATGTTTGTTACGATATGTCTTCACTCGACCAATGTCAGCTTCTGTGGACAAGTCACTGCTGAGAGGCTTGTTCCATTTGGCGCTTGGATTCAGTGTGGTGATATTTCTTAACAACAGGACAGCTAAGGTGACATCAAAATCATTTACTTTTGCAGTTAAGGAACAGGCCCCAGCTGGATACAAAATCTGCTTTTGGCTTGCATTTAGAACATTTCTCCTACTTAGCTGAAGCAAATTTCTTCTTACAGCTGGGATGTTCAGAACATTATACAATAGGCCTGTGGATTGGTCAAAGTCCCCTGGATAAGCTTTGTGTAATTCTTTTGTCAATACATCTCTAAGAACATCTGAAGCACGTTCCAGAAGCACTCTCAAGCGAAGGTAATTTTCTTGTCCCTCATCCATTTCAGGTGTGAGTGAAGGTTTTGATAATGCCATTGTTTCACCTCTGAAAAAAAAACAAGTATTCAATTCAATCATTTTAGAAATAATATAAAAGTCATTTGTAATTTGAGGCCATGGTAAAAAAAAAGAGGTGAATGGTCAATTTTAATAATAATTATTCTTGATTTTTATCTTCTTCTTTTTAAATAAATGTTTTATTATCTGGTGCTTACAAATATTATTGATGTCTTTTAAGTCATAAATTTTTCAATTTGCAGCTCCAAGTCAGTAAATTTATAGATTTGTACCCACAAGTGACCACTAATAACAAATTACCAATTTGCTGAACTGACCTAGCTTAAGGAGGGTCCCATCAGGGAGTAGGGGTAGTGATCACAGTTCACGGGAAATAAAATATAGAAGTTATTCATCCGTTTGGGTTATCATCAGCACCTTATATTTTTTCAAAATTGACCAGCTAGCAATTAATCAAAAAGTGGAGAGGACAAGGTTTTCAAACTTTGATGTATTTAGATGACGGTTTGTGCTATCTGATGACAAAGACAGATTGAAGCATCAGGGTGCTGAGATCAAAGAGGATATATTGCCAAGTCAGGTTTTATGCGAAAGCTAGGTGAGAAATCTATTTGGTCGCCAGTACAGAGTTTGACCTTTTTAGGGATTGATATTGACACTACTATTGGGGAAATCAGAGTTCCTGATAGGAGATTAGTAAGAGCTAAGAGAACTGGCATTGATATTCTCACAAAAGAGAGTCGAGGTCAATTTGTTCATGTGAAATGTTTAGCTAGTTTTGTTGGTCAGATTATTTCTACGTCAATTGTTTTGGGAAATGTAACGCAGCTAATGACAAAGTATATTAGCATGGTTATTTCAAGTTCTTTTCTTGGAATCAAAAAATGTTTGTGTGTGAAGATGCTTGCAGTCAAATTAGATTTTGGATACAGAACCTTGATGACGTAAATCATAGAATTTTACAGTTTTCACCTCAGTGCAATAAGGTAGTTTATTCTGATGCTAGTACATGTAGTACTGGGTTTGGAGGATATTGTGTGGAGACATCTAAAGGGGTGTGTCACGGGAATGGTCGGCTGCTGAAGTGACGAAGAGCTCAACTTAAAGAGAACTGATAGCTGTTTACAGGGTATTGTACTCCATGGCAAACACGTTGAGTGGTTCAAAATTGAAGTGGTTTTCTGATAACAAAGCTATTGTACATATAGTAGAAAAAGGCAGCATGAAAAGTAAATTACAAGCTATTTCCTTAGATATTTTTCATCTAATGATGAAGTGGAGTATTTCAATAGAAATGGAATGGATACCTAGAGAAAAGAATACCCAGGCAGATTATATAAGAAGAATTGTGGATGTTGATGATTGGGGTATTTCTCGGGAATTATTATTTCTTACATTTTGATAAGATTTGGGGTCCTCACCAAGTAGATTGGTTTGCATCCTGGCATATAATGCTAAAGTATGTACTTTTTATTCCAGATTTTGGAATCCAAGAAGTGCTGGTGTTGACGCATTTACTGTGAATTGGGCACGCGTCAACGGGTACTGGTTTGTACTACCGGTATACCTTGTTTCACGGGTAGTGAAATACATGGAGTTGTGTAAGGCATATGGGACCTTAATTGTACCAAGATGGCCGTCTGGAAGATATTGGCCATGTTTATGTCTTGATGGAAATAATTTTATTCCAGCAATCAGAGAGATTGAGTTGTTACCCATTGAGAAGGGTTTTTATACACCTTCTAAGTCAAAAAAGGGAGTTTTTGGAAATAAAAATTTACCGTTTGATATGATGGCTCTGAAAATTGACTTCAGAGTTTAGATGAGTTCGTATATTTTGTTTTCACTTGGCGTGTCGCTAATATATATTTTGTTTTATTTACATTTAGTTAACCACCTAAACTACTTCAGAATTGTAGAAGTGACAGCTAGTACGACGAGAAAGTACGCTTATGGATTTCTGAGATGGAAGGAATGGGCTGATAAAAATGGTTTTCAGAAAGAGGATATATTCCCACTTTCACCTTTTCATTTAAGTGCATGTATATCTTACTTATTTAGTAGAAAACAACAAGACTTTTGGTTCCATTACAGATGCATTTTATGGAGTGATGTTGTTGGTATTAAATTTCCTACTGATTCAATGTTGGTTAAAAATATTTTTGAGGGTGGCAAAAGAAGATATATATATATACCTGTATATACTGCTAAACATTATCTGTTGGTGAGGAAGAGTTCACCACATCTAGACATTGATCAGTTGTGTAAGTATACTGCTATAAGTGAGAAACACAAGAGCTACACTCTACTTGTAGGTGTGGCCCCTGTCCAATTCAAGGACATATTTTCATCGTGAAAAACAGCTTAATAGTAAAACTCTTAAGTAAAAGTTTTAATACTCCAAAAGGTCCCATGTATCCAGTAATCAACAATATATAATATCAAATTATTCTTTTACCTGTTTATAAATCCACTTCCTACTTCACGTTAACTTTGTAAGCTATCACCTAAGTGCGGAAGTATAACACACAATTTAATAAGCCCTGTGCCAAATATAGATTCCTCTCTTTGTGTGGGTTTTTCCACTGTTGTTAATACTTACTAGTGAATGCATAGCGAGGCTACCCTGGAAATGGCAGACTGCTTTTGTTGTTATTTGTGAGGTTTAAAAATGTAAATTATTACATGTACAGACTCTAGCCTGTTTTGTTGAATAATGCGTGTGTGTTGTTGTGGGTATGCATTGGGGCGGGGGGCATCGTCTGTGGATATGTAAGTGCATGTGTGAGTGTGTGTGAGCATGTGTGAGTGCCAATGTGTATGTGTTAATTTGCATGTTTTGGTATGTGTGTTTGCATGTACAGTATGTGTTTTTGCATGTGTGCATATGTATGTTTGAATGTGTGTCAGTGAATTTGTCAGTGGATAAGTAAGTGCATGTGCATCAGTGTGTTTGTGCCCGTGTGTGTGTGTGTGAGTTGTGTGTGTGTGTGTGTGTGTGTGTGTGTGAGTGTGCCATTACAATGAATCTGGATGGAAAAACACCCTTTACCTGGATTTTGGTTTGCACAGCTAGCTTATTCCTGGGTTTAAACATGACTTGTTATATTTTATCGTTATACCTAGGTGCTGCAATATTCACACTCAAAAAGATGGAGGTGGGGGAAGTGATTTATACATGTTGACCAATATGATCATCATATTAATTCCTGCATTTTTATTGTTTACCCATCATTTGTTCATGACATGATGCTAAAAATTACCTTATATCCTCAACAATTCAATGACATAACTGTTGTTTATTGTTACAGGTTGTATGTGGAGCATATGTGGTATTCATGACCAGGGATGGGGAGAGAGCTACCCGTGTTTGGAAAAATAAGCTTCCTGAATTATCAAGGATACAAAAGGAAATTTGATGTCCCAGCTTTTGTTAGAAAATATGGAGGAAAGAACCCAGCGGGCAAATTGTTGTTTTAATGTTGAAACAACGTTGAACCATAACGTTGAGAAGACATTGGATAAACGTTGGATTTGAAAGTTGTGTCAACCTCAGATAACAACGTTGTATCAACGTCAGAAAACAATGTTATATCAACCCCACCCAGCGGGAAAGTAGCCTTCATGTGTTAAGCAGTAGGACATTTTTGATGGCTAAAAATATGTAGGGTATAAATGTATGGCCTTTAAGTTAAAATTTCCAAGGTTTAGATTAATATATATAGTTCTTTTCTTATATATATATATATATATATATATATATATATATATATATATATATATATATATATATATATATATATATATATATATAAACAAAGTCACAGTCACCTCAACCTGTCTATCTATAATAGCAGGTTACCAAGAACTGTTAACTCCATCACATTTACAACAACTTATTCAACCTAGTGTTAGCTGACCTTGCAAGGAATTCAGTTTATTGGAATGTATTTCTGAATAACAAGTTAAGAAAATTCACTAGTTAACTAAAGACACAAAACAACTGTCACTTTTACTTTAAAACCGTTTTATTATTTTGATAAATTTAGTTACAGTATTGATAAACAAAGTATCACGTTTTCAAATACAGGTCGAGATCGAAAATAAGCTTGATTGGTTTCAGTTTTGATGCAGTTGTGCCTTGTTTTGTTTATAATTGCTTTTACCTCAGATTCAATTCGTAGGCATGTTTACAGTCTCATTATTTAACTAATTAGATATGTATAACTGTTCTTTTGACAAATTTATCATCTTTACAATATTTTTAGTTGATTACATAAAAATGGTGTTGAACATGTATTAATCATTGTGTAATTGTCAAAAATGGAAAAAAAAGCAAATCATTGCAGTTTGTCAGATTAAATCATTCATTATATGTTAAGAATCTCAGAATGGAGCAAATTAAACATTTAACATTGTTCTATTGATATTTTCTACATCTAAACAATTTTCTTACTTGATCATATACAAATGAGAATAAATTGATAATTTTGTTTTATACAAAAAGGTGTTTAAAATAGAAATAAACCCATTTCAGTAGAGTTCTCTCTTATTTACATTTTTGGCATTTTCAAGTGTGACTTTGAAGTTCTATGGGCCTGACAACCTTTGCCCTTCACATTTTCTGATTATCCATGCTATATATATTTTATCATTAAATATTGGTAGTCATATATGCTGTTTAGCATTACATAATATTGCATCAAAATTAAATAAGCCCTATTTTAAGCACTGCCACCATAGTGACCATCTGAGAAACCATATTTTGTTCTCAAACTTTCAAGAAAGAAACAAATACCAAAGATACAACTTCAATTGCAATGCAGTCTGTTTGGATAATTTTCTTGTAAGTTAAAGTTTTTTAATGAACATACAATTTTTATATGCTGTCTCTTTCAAGATGTGCCTTTAAACCTCAATGGGCTTAAAGACCTTTGCCAGTCACATTTGCTGAATATCCATGCCACTAATATTTTATTATTATAAATTGATAGTCATTATGCTGTTAAGCATTATGTAATATTGCATCTAAATTGAAGAAAGCCCAATTTTGGGTGCTGCTGCCATCATGTCCCTTATAAAAAAAAATTTTACTCATGATTGTCAATCTTACAAAAAAAAAAAAAAAAAAGACTGAAATGCAGCCCAAGTTGGAAAAGCAGTCTAATTAGTGAAACAGTCTTTTTTATCGTATCAGCATATTCAGTGTGGAACTCAGAACTTCCATGGGCATAAAGCTGAATGCTAATCAAATTTTCTACATTTCCATGTTATTTAAAGTCAATGATTAAAATTGCTCATAATTATTCTGTAATTTACTATGTAATTTTACATCAAAATTGATACAAATCTTCTCTGTGCACTGCTACTGCAATTGTTATGAAAAGAAAACCCTTACTTATTATTTTAAACTTACAAGAATAATTTCAGGCTTGACATGCAGCTCAAATTAGAAAGCCAGCAGAGATGATTTATCATTAATTATTGCATTAATGCAATTTCATAAATTTTCATTTTTCTCATTCTGGCATTTTCAAAGTGGCACTTGAACTCTCATGGGTCTGAAGCCTTACGATTGTTACACATTTTAATTACAATAGCAATACCTGTTAAGCTTAATTAAAATTTGATGTTGAATTTGCAGTTAAGCATAATGTACTTTTGCATCAGCATTGACACTTAGCATATTTTGTGCATTGTTATTTTCTTTTTGTCTGTACATTTGACAGCTTTGCTGCCTTGTTTCTACTTGTCTTCTAGGTGATTGCATAAAATGAGATTTTTTGGTCATGAAATAAAATGAAAGATGCAAAACCTTAAATATCATCAAATTTTATTATCATAAAGTAAGATCATGTGACCCTTACCTGCAACAAAAATATATTTGGAATTTATTTTTCTAAATTAATATTTAACAGGTTAGTTTAATTAATGTCTAAAAAACTGGCCGCATAAGTAATGGCTCCCCCCCCCCCCCCCAAAGACTGATCCTGATTTTCTAAACTTCTTAGGTGTCACAGTTGAAAATACTAACTATATCATGCTAGATCTGAGTTGGTATGTATTTAGTCACTGTCAAATAACTACATCTTAAACCAAAATTTTTACCGAGCCCATTCCCTTGTTGTAGTGAAGCAATATTTTAAAAGCATTTTCCTTATTATCTTCTGGTATTGTGGCCATACAGGAACATTTAGACTCGCAGTGCGAGTGCAGGTCCTGTCCCACAAAATGATCAATCATAGCAAAGTCTGCTTAGAATTTAAGCCAACTAAGCTAAATTTCACAAGAAGCCTTAACCCCTGCAAAGCTTTTTACCCAGACATTGAACCAAGTCTTTTGCTGCATAATAAACTCTGTCAACTACATTAATTGTTGGCCATCATTATAAAAAGTTCTTAGATTACTATAGCAGTTGAATTAAATGGTCCACTATCTGGTTTTAGCATTCTAAGCCAAGATCAAATATTAAAACTTTTTTTTTTTTTTTTGAGAAACAGGCCATAGTGGAAAAAATACTGACATACACAACTCTCAGAACCCTGAGCACAACATAAGGTAATGAAATCTTTTTTTCTCATAATCATTTTGCTTTTAATTGTGCAAATCTACTTTTCTAATGTAGTTTAGCTAATAAATTGCACACATTTTTTTTAACTTGATATATCCCCCATCCCGTCTCCCTGCTCCCCTCAAAGTGAATCTCTATCTGTCAACCAACTGATTTAGTGAAAATGCATAGTTTCATAACACCTTTAAAATTAATGTGGTCATTTGATGCAGTCACTGTAGCGCTTTATGTTTCCAGAAAAAAATCATAACAGACAACGTAAAAACAAAACTTGAATAACATTCAACCTTAATTACAATTTTTAAAGGTATCTTTCAAATTACTTGTAAGCAATATAACATATAGTCAGTTTGTAAAACTGAATTTTCCTCCCTTCATTTAATGCATAATAGTAAAACAGATATTAATTATCTCTTAGATCAATTCTGAATCATTTATACATGGTTGTGATATTCATTCTATATGGCATAGTTTTGCACCCAAGTGAAGTGAAATAAAACGAACAAATTATAATTATTATTGTCTTCATGTTATCTCATTGATTTGTTAATGTGCATATTTTGAATACTGTTCTGACCTACCAGCACCTACAAACCTTGAAGAAATGCATTGCTAGAAAGTGCACTAAAATAACAGTAACGGCAAAATTGTTGGACTTAACAACTGAGCAATAAGTTCAATTTCTGTAAGATAAAAGTAGAAAAAAAACTTTGGCTAATATTGTCTTTTGTCTGTTGATACTAAACTACACTACTTTAAACTTTTCAATTTCCTAGGACTTAATGACCTAAGAGTTTTCATGCACCTGGTGCTATCCAATTAAGGAACTTCAGACATGCTTCATAGCCAAAGAAACAGGCCTGAAAGAGAGTAAAATAAAGAACAAGTTGAGTTTAAAATTCTATGACTAAGAAACTTAATGGATTGTCTATGTATTTCACCATTTTTGCTGTTCTAAAATTTTACTGCCCTTGAGTGACACTCCACATATTCAACTCAAAAATGCTTGTCAAATCAAACAATGTACTAGTAATACTATTTTTTAAAATAAATACTCTACTTTGATATTAAGTAAAACTGTAACAAGAAGGGTCCTCTAAAGTAGCCCACTGCCTGTGGATACAAACTGGTCAGTATTATTCAGTTATCAAAACTAAAAACCAATATCTAAATGGAGTTTCCCCAACACTTACAGCATTAGCTGGGAATGCCCTGAGAAACACTGGGGCTGCACCTTTGTATAGAGCTAATGGGCCTTCATTCTTCATCAAGTGCTTTAATACATCTCCTACACCCTTGTACATGCCCTCTGGAGCTAAAATGGGGAGAAGGAGAGCTTATAAGTTGCACAAGATACATATAAGCATTCCATATTGGTAAAAAGAGTATATAGTTATTCAAGAGACTGTTAAACTGATTGCTTTCAGTGAAAGTCCTTGCGGAGTTGGATCCATCTACAGAGAACAATATTTGAGCACTAACCTGTTTGAAACCTGGACTTAAGCACATCGGGAGGCATGGCTATCATCCAATTGAATATACCTGCCATACCTCCAGCAAATAAAATGCGTGGGACACTCAGTTCACTCCTGAAATGTTTGCTCTCATTCAGAACAGGGGACTAACAGAACCAGGGATCAAATAAAGCAGACTGCAATATAAATCTATTCAGTGTCTAATCCTGAATCAAGCGACAAGCTTTTAAGTGGGTCGCCATATTTGATCTGAGAATCTATTAATCCACTGCTCTGAATGCACTCTTAGATCGATTCACAACGAGTTGAGCCAGGCTTTACAAATCCTGGGGACTAAATATGGTGGACGTACATGAAAGAAAAACCCTCTAATATTTTAAAAGTCTCTTCGCCTCTCACACGCCTCTCCATGCATCGTCCCTGCGGGGGTACAGTCATTAAATTTC